TACACAACATCTCATCCAAATAGCAACTCTGATGCATACACAACAGATACTCATCTGTGTAGATAAACATGGTTTTTATATAGCACTTATTATTTTTTGGACACACTAGATGCATCCATGTTTAGATTTCCATCTCCTTATTTGCTTTTATACTTTGTTATGCCTCCTTGCATGGACGCGTGATTATTCTTTTCATTAAATCTTCTATAATTCATAAAATGACTAATGTGTTTTATATACTACAGTAATATTATTAACTATAGCACATATAAAACAATCTAATTGGGCGTTCCAATCAAGTCTCCACGTTAATAAAAAAATTCCGCCCATTGATTTCATAGATCACCATCGATGGTCTATTAAATTAATTAAATTATATACAAGAGTACGTTGATTCAATTGCAAAAAAATGATCTACCATAATACGGAAATTTGCCCATTAATTCCCAATTGCAAAAATATTGCGAAAAAATTTCATAGATGGTATTTTCAATTGCGAATCTGAAACTATTAAAAAAATATGGACTCTGATTTAATAATTCTAAAATTTCAAATTAATTAGCGGAGGCAGAATTAAGAGAGCTTCATAGATTGGGTAACAAATACACATGGACAAATAAACAGGTTCAGCCGGTGAGAGAGGTTCTAGACAGAGTTTTGGTTTCAGCAGGTTGGGAACTTTTGTATCATCTTACTGTTGTACAGAGTCTGACTAGAATAGGTTCAGATCACTGCCCTATTCTGGTTGAATTAATTCCTGCTGGAGATATTCATCTTAAGAGAGGATTTAGATTCGATAGGGCTTGGTTGGGGCAGGCTGACTTTAAGCAGTGGCTAATAGAGAATTGGCCCAAGAGGAAGAAACAAAACATTTTGGATCATTGGAATTGTCAGGGGACAATTCTCAGGAGGAAAATGAGAGGTAGACAACTTAACAAGGAGAGTGAAAATAGGAGACTGAAAGTGACTCTACTCAAAGAGATGCAGAAGTGGGATGATGCAGCTGACTCAAGAAATCTGTCCCAGGGTGAGTGGAAGCAGAGGTATGAGCTGGAGGATCAGCTAAACATAATCTTTCAGGAGGAAGAAATATATTGGCAGGAAAGGAGTGGGGAGAAATGGCTTCTTGAGGGGGATGCTAACACAACCTTTTTTCATGGAGTAGCTAATGGTAAAAAGAGGATAATTACCATTAGAAGTTTAGAAGAGGATGGAAGAGTGATTGAAGGTAACTCAGAACTGAGAGAGCATATAACCCGTTATTATAAGGGCTTGTTTGGTTCGGAGTTACCACCAAAAGTGTTTCTGAGCCAGGATATGCGGAGGGATAGGGGAAGGGTGGATCAAGAAGATAATGACTTTTTAGTCAGACCTTTCTCCATGGAAGAGATTGAGAGGGCTTTAGCAGAAATGAAAACCAATACTGCTCCGGGTCCTGACGGCTTGCCAGTATGCTTTTATAAGGAGTTTTGGGAGCAGTTGAAGGATCAAATCAAAGAGATGCTGGATTCTTTATTTGAGGGGAGACTGGATCTTTGGAGACTAAACTATGGGGTGATTACTTTAATTCCAAAGATAAAAGAAGCAAATAACATCAAAGCTTTCAGACCTATTTGCTTGCTCAATGTCTGCTTTAAGCTGCTAACAAAGGTTCTGACGATGAGAATAACTCATGTTGCTAATAAGGTGATTGGGGAAAGTCAGACAGCCTTTTTACCAGGGAGATTCATTCTAGATGGTGTGGTCATTCTTCATGAAGTGCTTCATGAGCTTAAGAATTCAGGTCAATCTGGTATTATTTTGAAGCTTGACTTCGAAAAAGCTTATGACAAGGTTCAATGGGACTTTCTATTTGATGTCCTACAAAGAAAAGGTTTTTGTGAGAAATGGATTGGGTGGATAAAGGCAGCAACAACAAAGGGGAGTGTTGCCATTAATATTAATGGAGAGGTGGATCAATTCTTTAGAACTCACAAAGGTGTGCGTCAGGGAGACCCTCTTTCCCCCCTAATGTTCTATCTGGTGGCTGATGCCCTTCCAGAGATGCTAAATAAGGCCAAAGAGGCTGGACACTTGCAAGGACTGGTACCACATCTAGTCCCTGGAGGATTAACACACCTACAATATGCAGATGACACGATCCTTTTCATGACAAACTCGGAGGAAAACATTGTCACAGTGAAGTTCCTGCTCTATTGTTATGAAGCTATGTCAGGTCTTAAAATTAATTTTCAGAAAAGTGAAGTGATTGTCTTGGGAGTGGAGGAAATGGAGGCACAGAGGGTGGCTGACCTCTTTAATTGTAAGAGGGGAGCCCTACCCATCACCTATCTAGGCTTGCCCATCAGTGAGGGGAGGTTGACAGCGAAAGACTTGGAGATCCCAGTCACAAAGATTGAAAAGAGATTGGCAACTTGGAAATGTGGCTTTCTTTCCTATGGAGGAAAGTCCATTTTGATTAATTCTTGTTTGAGTAGTGTTCCAATGTATATGATGGGATTTTATTTGCTTCCAACTCAAACGCACCATAAGATGGATATAGTATTAGAGCTAGATTTTTTTGGGATGGCCTAGAAGGGAAGAAGAAATATCACTTGATCAAATGGGAAGCCTTATGCAGACCCAAGGAGGATGGGGGGCTGGGCTTCATCAACACTAAAATTATGAACGAAGCACTCCTCTGTAAATGGATTTATAAGTTGGAATCTGGGAACAATAGTCCCTGCTGCAATCTTCTGAGGAAGAAATATTTAGGTCAGGGAGGTGGCTTCTTTCAATCTTCTCCCGAAGGAGGTTCACAGTTCTGGAAAAGTCTACTTGAGGTTAAAAATTGGATGAAACTGGGTAGCGCCTACAACATTGGTAATGGGGAGGCTGTCAGGTTTTGGGATGATGTTTGGTTAGGGGAGGTGCCCTTAAAAATCCAATTTCCTTACATTTATAGCATTTGCGCTAACCCTGATAAGACAGTCAGCCAAATGTTGATAGAAGGGGAGTGGAAAATTAGGTTAAGAAGGTCGCTAGGTCAGGCAGAGTTGAATGAATGGTGTGAGTTGCACTCAAAACTCAGCACAGTTCAGTTGACCTCAGAGGAAGATAAGATGTTCTGGAAGTTGACAAAATCAGGTCAATTCACAACTAAATCGTTATACAGAGAAATGATCTTTGGGGGGGGGGGTTCAAAGACATTGTTATCCAGGACCTTTGGAAGGCCCCAGTGCCCCTGAAAGTGAAAACTTTTGTTTGATTGATGCTTAAGGGGAGAATTCAGGTGGCAAAACAGTTAAAGAAGATGAAATGGCCAGGTAGCCCGAACTGCAAGCTTTGTCAGAGTGAGGAAGATGTAGATCATTTGATGTTTAGATGCCCACTTGCTCAGTTTCTTTGGTGTATCTTGAGAGATACCTTTAGCTGGCCGCATATCCCTGCTTCTAGGAAAGATTTGCTTAATTTGGTGCAGTTACAGAGGCGAGACAAGGCCAAAGTTCTTTGGCTTCTTTTTGCCGCTGGATTTTGGGCAATTTGGCTTATGAGAAATGATTGGGTCTTTAATAACAAATTGACGACAAATGTTTCTTCTTTGCCTTATAAAGCTCTTTCGTTTGTAACACAGTGGAAAAAACTAGCTCCGGCAAAGCTAAGGGGGGAGGTGGAGACTGTACAAGGGTTGTTTCTTGCCAGCATTCGCGAGACAGAAGGCTCAAACTGATGATGGCGAACTGAAGAATCAACATCTCTTGGATAGTCCCCTGCGTGGAACTTTTACTTCTATGCTTCTATGTCGATTCCTGGCTTGTTTTGCTGTGCCAACAGCATTAGTTCCTCGCCTTCTTTTCAGACTGTGTGCCTTTTGTTTCTAAGCTGGAATCCCCAGCAGTTTGTGAACCTTTTATGCTTTTAGTAAAAGCTGGGCCTTGTGCCTTTTCTCCAAAAAAAAAATTTCAAATTAATAAATATGAATATCATTGTTCTGTTGGAATCTCAATTTAGTGTTTTTTACCTATTTCATCCTAAAATATACTACTTCTACTTAAAATCTAAAGTCTAAAAATAATAATTAGCATCTTGCACTCGGAAATGCTAATGGGCGGGTGATCGCTCCCCCGCCCGCCTAGCGATCACCCGCCCGTCTCCTCCCTATACTACCAGATACACTCCTCCCTCCTCCCCTACTACAGTACACCACACAAAATTTTTTTAAAAAATAAAAAGTTAGAAAAATTTATGTATAGAAACACTATATATAAAAAATTTAAATTCAAATTCAAATTTGAATCGGGTATGTAAACTTTTTGACTTATAAACTTTGGGTTTATAAACTTTAGGTGTATAAACTTTAGATGTATAGAAATACTATATATAGAAAAAATTTGAATTCAAATTCAAATTTGAATCGGATATAATTCAAATTCAAATTTGAATCGGGTATGTAAACTTTTGACTTATAAACTTTGGGTCTATAAACTTTAGGTGTATAAACTTTAGATGCATAGAAATACTATATATAGAAAATATTTGAATTCAAATTCAAATTTGAATCGGATATAATTCAAATTCAAATTTGAAACAGGTAAATTTGAATCGGATATAATTCAAATATAAATTTGAAACATGTATCTAACTTTAGATGTGTAAACTTGCAGGTGTATCACAACTTTCAGGCCTATAAACTCACTTTCAGGTGTCATAAACTTTCAGATGTATCAGCAAATACTATATATATCATCATATAATATTTGAATTCAAATTCCAATTTGCAATCGGCATATATAAACTTTTGACTTATAAACTTTGGGTTTCTAAACTTTAGATGTGTAAACTTGAGGTGTATAAACTTTAGGTGTATAAATTTATTAAAATAGAAAAGTAATACGGTGCCAAAAAAGGAAAGCAGGTGGAGGGAGGGAGGGGGGAGGGGGGTAGCGAATCTTATCGCTATCCCTATTGGCGGCGATCGATCGCCCATTAGGGCTGCCCTGTTGCACTTGCGTGCACTCTTCTTTTAATTTGAACAGCTATAATTTCAAAAGGTAATAAACACATTGGGTTGGCGTCTTGCTACTAGTACAGTTTTATCCATCTCAAAAAAAAAAAAGCTTTCCTTCTATATTGGAAATCTGAATTTTAATTCAGCTTTTGATTTTTTAACTCGACCTTAATTAATCCGTGAACCGTACCGGCGCTCGGCGCAGCTTCCGGCCGGCGTCCTGGAAGAACGCCGCCACCGCCGCCCACTCCTCCAGCAGCATCTCCTCGCTCCCCTCCCTGCAAATCGGCGGGAAGAAGAGCCAGAACGACGAGCCCGCAGCCACCGCCATCACGAGCAGCGACCCCAGCGGACGCGGCGGGGGCGGCCATCTCCTCGCCACCCACCGCCTCGCGCACCACTCCTCCGCCACGCAGCACACGCCGTGGAGCAGGAAGAAGGCGGTCATCTCGCCGGTGGGCAGCCGCAGCGTCATGTAGTACACCATGGCCTCGTGCATCAGCCCGGAGATGAGGAACGTGGCCACGACGCCCGCCGCCTTCCCGGCGCGAGCGCGCACGGGGTCGTACACCGACGGCCGGAGGATGGCGGACACCATGAGATTCCACCGCCGGCCCCAGAAGTCCCGCAGCGACGACGCCAGGTACGGCCGGTCGAACGGCGGCTCCAGCTCCATCCCCAGTGCGGATCCGGCGGCCGCGATGCAGGGGAGGAGGAGGTCCAAGAAGCAATAGATGTGGATCCCGTACATGGCGAGACGTATGTAGCGATGCAGCAGCTGGATCTTGGACTCGTACAGATGGAGGATGGTGGCTATGGCGGCGACCTTGGCCGCGCAAGAAACGAGGGACACCGATTTGGCGGCCGCGCCGGGACAGCCGCCGCCTCGGCGGAGCTTCACGGGGAGCAAGGCTGTGAAGAGGAACGAGAGCACCGGGAGGCCGTCGACTGCGAGCGGGCCCAGGCCGGAGGCGAGGAGGACGACCTTGAAGGCGCCGAGCCACGCGAGGAAGAAGGCGGAGGTGCCGCGGAGCATGGCCGAGGAGGTGAAGGCCAAGGGCGCCGCGGCGAGGAGCGCGACCACGGGGAGCAGCGCGGCGAGGCGTGGGAGGCCCGGGCGCAGGAAGGCGGACGCCACGCGCGCGTACAGCGCGGCAGCCGAGGAGGCCAGGGACACCATGGGGATGCTGTCACGCAGGAGCTCCATGGCCGCGCCGCGCGCAGCTCCGCTCCACTCCGTGCCGTCAAGCCGGTGTCGCCGCCCACTTGCTTCAGACGGGCACTGAACAAACGGAGAAAAAAAATGAAGAATGGGAAGGACGAAGGAGTACTGTTTTTCTTCTTTTTCGCTGGGTCCACAGTTTTTTTTAGAACGGGTCCACATGATTTGCTACATTGATGCTACAGTAAACATCCGTTAAACATGGATTAATATATCTCGTTAGATTCGTCTTGCAAAATAGCCTAGGTGTTATGGAATTGGTTTTGTCAGTAATCTACGTTTAATACTACTAAATAGCAAGATTCCAGAGAGCTATTTAATAGCCCGAAGAATCCAAACGCAGGCGTTCAAAAAGTTATCAAAAATTTTAAAAAAATTACTAAAATTGATCAATATATGATATATTTTTTCGCAAACATGTAAATTAAAATTTAACTTATACAATTCGAAACAAAAATAAAAAATTCAACCATAAATTACACGTTCTTTTAATAGTTAAATTTGTTATTTTTGTTACTATGAATTTGAATATACATGTTTGTGAAGTAGCATATCATATATTGATCTATTATAATAATTTTTTTTAATTTTTTTGATGACTTCTTATGTGATATGTAAAAACACATAAGTAAAAACGAGGGGATATCTTTTAATGGATGAATAGAGTTTTCCCAATGAAGAGAATTTTTTTTTCCAATCAAAGAGATCTTTTTTTTTTCAGCGGAGGATATGGAGAGGGGTTTTGTGTGTGCTCGGTTTGAGGGTGGGGGTGGGGGGTTGAATTGTTGCATACCGGATGCAAATCCTAGCCCGTGCATACCTGACTTTGATACGCGACGCGTGGACGAGGTAGCGATCTGATGGCCGGCCCCGCACCGCGCGCGAACAGCCATGCCTCACGCTCGGTTAGCTTGCACGAGCAATCTCCATGCCCGACTGCATGGCTTGTGCTCGCTCATCTCGGCTCGATATAGATCTGCTTCGCTCACTACGCTATGCTCCCAAAAGCAATTCCTCTCCATTGTTGCCCTCTGCTAGTTCTGTGATCCCACCGCCGCCTCTCTCATCCAGAGCTCGTTCGCCGCTGCTACCCTCTTCCACACATGGGAGGGTGCAGTATGCGTGCTAGCCACCACTCCTCGTCCAACCGCTTGAGGGAGCTGTCGCCGCTTTCTGCCTCCATGGCTCTACCCGGGTAGCCAACCAAGTTGTAGTAGATTCGTAAAACTCCTATCTTTAATACTATAACATAAAACTTCACACTTTCAGTAACAAAACCACCACTAAATAATTATGTAGTACAAGCTATCTATACCATATTAAAAAGATACCAAGCATGGTGTCCGTTCCCACTGCAAGCCACCGCACCAATAAAATCGTTCTCTCTCTCTCTCTCTCTCCTCTTCGTCTGTCTCTCGCATCTCCGGTTTGCCCGCCCCAAGCCGTGCGGCCCTTCCCCGCACCTCTCTGCCGTCGCGCCAGCCCTCTACCACCACCCGCCCTCTCCTCTCTCTCTCACTTGTCCGGCCCTCCATCTCTTTCTCGCCTCTCCTGCTCGCCCGCCCCAAGCCACGCCAGTCCTCCCCCGCAGCTGCTGCCGCGTGTAGGATTGAGATGTCGACTAGAGGGGGGTGAATAGGCGATTTAAAACTAAAAGACACCAAATCAAAACTAACCTAAGTTGCTAGGCTTGGTGAGGGTCAACTCTAACTAAGCAACTAAGTTATGTTTTGCAAACCTAGAGTGATAGTGGTTCAATTATATCTCTAGGAAAGTAAATCACACTCCTATGTCAATGTTTAGCAATCCTAGGGTGATATGATCTCAAGTATGTCTCTAGAAATGTAAATTGCACAAATATAAATGCGACAATCAAATGAGACAAGGAGACAAGAGATTTTTCACCGAGGTTCGGAAACACGCCGGTTTCCTACTCCCCGTTGAGGCGAGCCCAACTCCACCGCTCAACCACGAAGCCACCGCACACCCCCTTCGTCAAGGGGTGGGCAAGGCGGGAGCCGGCCCATGGAGAGGACTACCCAAGCCTCGATCACTAGGGTAGTTCTTCCTTCACTCTGAAGGTGGTGAACTCCAAACCACTCACAAACCAGCGCCGGGCCTCCTCCACAATCTTCTCGGAAAGGTCACCGGGCAACTCCTCCACAAGCCGTCTAGGAGGCGGCAACCTCCAAGAGTAACAAGCAATGACCCGGCGTGGAGATGATCAATCAAGTGCCACACACTACGTTGGGTAGGGCTACCTGTGACGGGCCCAAAGTGTCACCTCTGACGGATATAGCTCTGGTCAGAGATTAGTGGTCACTGATGACTCTCCTCACCTTTGACGGGTGTAGGTCCGTCAGTGGTGAAGGCTACCTGTGACGGACCACATATAAAACCCGTCACAGGTGACTGTTATCTCAAACGACCCATTATTTTGTGGCCCGTCACTGATGTCTTTAACCCAGCAAAAAAAAATAAAAGAAGCAGCGTGCACCCCGTCACTGGTGTGAAAAACAAACAAAAAAAAAATGGTGCACGCTGCTGTGGTGGTGCTCGTTGTCACAGGCTCAGAGCTGCTTTGCTCACATTCATCATCACACAAAAAATTCAAACCGATAGATCTCATATAGAAGTATTCACACAAAGTGGATGGCAAGAATTTCTCAATGCACAGACAACAATATCATATCAATGCAAAAGGCACACCACACACCGGCGACAGATCTGGCGACCGGCAGGCGAGGGATGGCAGCCATGGCGACCGACCACATCGGCGGGGAAGAAATGGTGGAGGAGCTGGCGGCCGGGAGGTAGGGGAGGCGTCGACGGCCAGATCCGTGTCCCAGAGGCCAGATCCGCGTCCCGGAGGCAGACTCGACGGTTGTCGTCGGTGGTCATCGTCGTCGTCGCTCGAGCTTGGCGCCGGTGACCCCGAGCTCCTGGAGGCCGGCGGTCGGGGATGGAGATGGCCCCCGCCGGTCGGGGATGGAGGCCGCGGCGCCGCCGCCCACCTCCTCCTCGCCTCCGCATGCCGTCGAGCCCTCCTCACCGCCGCCACGCATCGCTGAGACACACACCAGATCGGAAATAAGAGAAGGGGGAGGAGGGGGAGAAAGAAGGGGGAGGAGGATGTGGGTACCGCCGCCGCCACTAGCCGCCTAGCGCCGCCACAACCACCTCGCCACTTTGCCTCCACAACCACCGCTGCCGCCCAGCGCCGCACGCCGCAACCACCTTGCCGTTGCGCCTCCGCACCACCGCCGCTGCCACGCGCCGTTGAGCCGTCGCCCAACGCTGCCGAACCACCGCCGCGCGCCGCCGCCGCCGCCACGCCGCCGCCTGTCCCGCGGGCGCCGTCGGGTCCTCCGCCGCCCCGCAAGAGCCTCCCCTCTTGTTTCTCTGAGTGTGGATAAGGGAGAGAGAGAGATCTTTTGTTTATGTGGATAAGAGAGAGTGTGTGAGGGACAGAGTGGATAAGGGAGTACATATTAGTATACTCCGCCCCCCCTCCCCACCTGTGACGGGCTCCAGTGATGGGTCCGTTTGAGGTGAGTTTACCTCACCTTTGACGGTTTATAAGGATGCAACCCGTCACAGATAAGTCGTCAAAGGTGACAGGATTTGTGGTAAAGCCATTAGCTCTTACCACTGGAAGCAATGCACTTGACTCTTGGCTAGTCACCCTTCTTAACCCACTAGATGGATGAACACAAAACTTCAAGTAGGTGTGAGAAGAGGTGCCAACGGATTATAATGCAATTGAATTTGGTGGCCCAAGAGAGTTCCCCTTGCTGGTTGGTTGGGGGGGGTATTTATATCTTCCCCCCCCCCACCAAACTAGCCGTTGGGGGCGAAATCCCAAATCATTGTGCTCTGTCGGTCTGACCGGAGGTATGTGGCCGTCAGACCGTGCTACTCTGCAACGGCTAGAAAACTAGCCATTGAAGAGCTGTCAGAGGGCCCCATCGGCCTGGCCGGTCAGACCGGCGTTGAGTGGGCAGTCAGACCGGCCACGGCTCGGTCAGACCGCCATCGGCTCGGTCTGACCGACTACGGCTCCGTCGGCTCTGTATCGGCCACCCCGAGCAGCACCATCCCGGCCTCTAGGGGGCTGGTCTGACCGCGCATGTGCCGCCGGTCAGACCGGCCTTATGCGCCGGTCAGACCGCCTTCTTGCGGCCGGTCAGACCGACCAGGGCACGCCGGTTAGACCGCCACTATGTGGCCGGTCTGACCGCCCTTGGTCAGGCCGAGCCCAGTGAAATATTGTGTGTGTGCGCTATGAAGATGTGAGCACAAGTGAAAATGCAATGACCTAATATGGCAATTAAAATCATCTCTTTGCTAGGTCATTACCCCTCTTAATAGTACGGCAAAACTAAAAAATAAACTAGCAAATTTGATCGCCCTACACCTCGATCAATTCTAAATTAAAGCACTAGTTTTACCGTCTTCTTTTCTTCGCTTCGCGCCATCAAATTTTAATCCATCAATAGTCATCCATGCGCACACATGACGTGGATCTAACTTAAAATGTATAGCTCAAAGACAACGGTTAGTCCACAATTAGCGCTTGTCATTAATTACCAAAATTAACACCGGGGGCCTAGATGCTTCATTCTCCCCCTTTTTGGTAATTGATGACAAACACCACAAATATATATAATCAAACATAGAGCACATGGACATATATTGCATTCCCCTAAACATGTACATACCAATCATAAACAACAAATATGGAGCCAATGCACATTTCAATATCACATTTCAACATATCACAAACACAAGAGCAATATATCAATATGAACTTCAATCCATAGGCATGAGATGGTCACATATACATCAATATCAGAAACACCATCCATCATTGCATAAGTTCACATCACTTAACCATTTAACTCACAAAAGTCACAAAAACATCCTAAAAAAGGCTCACAAATAAAACATAGGCTATTACAAGACCACGAAGGGTCCAAAGACATAGAGAGTTTAACAAAACGGCAAATAACACACAAGATAGAGTAATAGCCCATACCCATACAAAATATAGCCCAATCCTCCTTAACCTATTAAATATGAGGTGACTAACCTCACTACTACTAGTCCCAACCCAACATAAAACACACTTTTCTCCCCCTTTTGGCATCAAGCACCAAAAAAGGTCTTCACTCTTGTGGAGGAGAAGGAGGACGCGCCGAAGATGAAGGATGAGAAGCATCACGACGA